GCATGACTAAGTGACAAGTGGAATATTTACGTGAAAACGATTCTCAGAAAGCAAACTACGCGAGAGAAACTTTAAAGATTTAGCCCGAAATAATTTCAATTTCAAATAATTGTAAATCTCTCGAATGATACAAATGGAGAATCGATTGAAACCGGAGAAAGTTCTAAAGAATTCGTTTCGAAGACTTTCAAAAGTCAAGTAGCAAGTAAAACATTTTTCTGTACTAAAAATCCCTTTCCCTCGACGTTTCTTCGCTCAATTCTCCCTAAATTTTTGAGTAACAATTCTCTTTTCAAAAAAGTTTAATTTTATTCTTCTAATTATCGTGATACTTGTCTTCATATCCTGGATACATTTTTATTTATACACTTTTACAATATTATTTTAATAAGATTTTAGAAAAGTAGACTTTCCATATTGCAAAAGGATATATATATATATATGGGGGGAGACCGGGGCAACTTCGGCATGCGGGGCAAGTTTGTCAAGCGCTTTTTTAAAAAAACAAATTAAAAGGAGACTTTGGTTATAGGTTAGGCAGTTGAGTTTTATTGGTGGCTTGTTGAGTGTAGTNGATAATATCTATATTATTTTAAGTAAAATAACTCGGAGGTGTTTATTAAATTAATTATGTTTAATTTTGATAATTATTCTACTAACGAGCTTGCTAAGATTACGTTTAAACTTTACGAAAACATATCTATAAAACGAAATCCAGTACAATTATTTAATATAGAAAAAAATAATTGATTTAATTAATAACCAACAAATAATAATAATTCATTTTTTTTTGCGTTTATCTAAATTTTACTCAAACATTCAATTAATTTCATTGATTTGCTTTTAAGAAAATAAAATTTTAATTATTCCTATAATCAAGACCGGCTGCGATTTTAACTAATTTTCTTCCATGTTTCACATTACTCCTGCAGTTTAAAATTGCAATTTTGTTCCTCTCTCTTTCTCCCTCTCTCTCTCTCTCTCTCTTTCTTTTCTTGGAGATTTTTCTTAATTTATTTTTCTGGGATATTTCGATCTCTCGACTGTGAAGCATCTCGATCTGGCATGTTACGGATTTTTGACGTGAATCGGTAGAGCAGAAGGACTGTTGGGCCACTCCTTGACTAGCCCAACCGTATAATCACGATCTTATTCTAGTGTCCATCACATTCTTCTATTCTTCTTCTCCTCCCTCATGCGAGTTATCGACTAAAGAAAAAAAAAAATTCCTTTTTCTGACTTATGGATGTTGCCTCTGCTTCTATCAAGTCTTTTTAAACGTTGTGTGTGTCTTTTATGTTTATTCACCAATTTTATTATCTTCGCATAACGTTATTCCAAAACAATTTAAAATGTTAAATCACTATTAAAATAAATGATGCGTATTATATATATATATTTAAAAAATTATTTTAGAAAAATAGCTGACGAATTTACGCATTAAAAAATTCCGTAGAAAAGGCTAAAATGTCTTCATTTTTCGTCGTGTAAAATCACCAGGAACAACAGTCTTTCATTTCGGAGACGACCTTTTATTAGAGGCTAGGCTTCTGGTAAAACATGCAAACAGTGGTGATTTGACATGACAAAAATGAAGACATTTTAGCCTTTTCTACGGAATTTTTTAATTTGTAAATTCGCCAGTCATTCCTTAAAAAGAAATTATGTATTTATTAATTTTGACTTGTCACTTGTGCAGTTTCTATACGTTTTTGCACAGGAAATAAAAGGTTGTCTCTGCAATGGAAGACTGTTGTTCCTTGTAATTTGACATGACGAAAATGAAAACACTTTAGTCTTTTCTGTGAAATTCTTTTTAAGAATTCATTTGTGCATTAATTTTTTTTCAGTAATTCTGTTAGTTTCATTCAGATATTTTACGTTTTATTTTGTAACTTGATCTTTCGTAAGCTTTTCTCTAAGTGATATTCGTCTCTCGCCCTATCGCATCACAATGGAGTTTAATAGCGGCTGCATTTCCACCTAATCTACTTTATTTTTCGATCGAAGTCCGTTTGTTTAGAAAATTGAATGAAGAATCGCTGGTGATAGCAAATGAAATGGCAGCCAAATTTATTCGAAATCTAAAATCAATTGGAATATTTTTTCGATGTCTTCTCAAGTTTTTCTTTCGCCATTTTAAGTTCGAAGGGAGGCACTCTTTATACGAGCCAGAATTTTACTTATGAAATAATTTAAGTCGATTTAACAAAAACCTAATATCATAAAGTGCCTACTTATATGTAAGAAGATTGCTGTTCTACTTTCTTGTAGTAGCGGAAGAATTATTCTTATGATTTTGAAACAGATGGTTATTAATTTATTGAAAGTGACGAACAAACACCGTCTGAAAGAATAGTTTTTATTCGTTAACTTTACATTCGTCTCATAACGGAGTGTAATAAAATATGATGTCGGATCATAAAGTACTTTTTAAATGAATTTATTTCGGCTTCAAGTACTGTACATTCTGATTTATTAAAAAAATTAATTTAATTCGCCAAAATTTTTAGCTTACGATTAAAGAAACGACAGGAAGGGATTGTGCGTTGGTGTCATACTTAAACGTAGTTAGAGGACGAGAAAATTCCATTCTCCACCAGGATGGCGAAGATGTTCGAAGCGAGATAATCTTTATGAGAAATGCACGAAGACATCGGTTTGCACAAATTCCTTGCGAGAAGCGAATTTTGAAAACAACAGGTGGAACGAGAAGGGGCTGGAATTGTCTTTTGAGGAAGCGTGACATCGTCGTCATGCTCGGTACCGTGATTATTTTTGTGGCTAAACCGAAAGAATGACGTCTGACATTTAAGTAATTTCTTTGGCATTCCAACTAGAAAGATTAATATTCCTCCAAGTTTTCCTTCGAACTTTCCGCTCGGACGATCGCTCTGCTAAATATTCTTCCAAGTTGATATTAAACGGGAAAACATTCGTTTTTCAATTTAAACCGATTCCGTTTATTTCAATCATAAATATCCCTCGTAGTTTTGCTTAACCTGAGAATTTATTTATCAAATTTTTTTGTATAACGTTTTTATTAATCGCGTTCGAAGGTTTTAAACCAGAGTTGACCCGATATTGACATTGATCTATTTTAACTTTTTTAAGTTCTTCCCATAGAATTCTTCGGGAATATTTTCTATTTCTTCTCTTTTATCGAGTTTATAAATTTCTCGTAATATAGAAATAATTATTGTTGTAATTCGAAGTAAAATACTTAAAAGAAAAAAAAATCGCACACGTTTGATGTTTTTCCCTTCCCCAAAAAAATTTTACATGAGAAGAACGGTTTTAAACAAGTTAAATTTGAAGCGGAAAGCAAATTGATTTAACTTTATGATTTAAAATATTAATAAATAAAAGTTAAACTTTCTTAAAAATTTGAGATTTTATTAGAAGAGATTTAAGAAAATTGCTCCTAAGATAATTTTAATTATATTTTTTTCCAAGAAAATACTTTAAAATACGCAAGATTTAATGTGAGTTGCCAGCGGCGGGATAAGCGGTATCCGATATTTACGTTTCGTATAAGCATTGGTAAACACTCGTTTATCTCCGAATTTGACGCCGCCTTAGAAAAAAAAAACTCTTATTTTTCTAGTAAAACGTTTGACGGGTGACTTAAGAAACTCTCGTTCTTTGTTTCTTATAACTTAAACTCACAGAACAACGGAAATCCTTTAATACTATTAATTTATATTAATGACATTAACCTGTATTTCTGGATGTAAACGGGTCGTTCGGCACGCTAATTACAATAAAGTAACAAAATTATATTAAATATAAAATGATATTTACATATTTCTCTTAAGTAGAAAGGAACCATTTTATAATCCAATTAACTAATTTTATAATTCAAAACCAACTTATATCTTATATCAGGAGTGGCTGACCTTTTGAAAAGTGCCTGCCAAAATGGCAAGATCCATCCTGAAAAATTTTCTCACGTGCCAAACGAAACTTTTGGGAGCATATTATTATTTGGGGTCTTTCAGGTATCGGGAGAACCTTTCAAATAATCAAAAATTTACATAGAAACCCATAAAATCCTTTACGAAATACGAAAAAATACATAAAGAAATGTTGAGATATTGCATAGTTATTTTATAAAGTTTCTTCGTAAGCATACAGTCGAGTAAAACACTTAAATATGCGACAATCAATTTTCTAATTACATAATTAACGTACTTATGAGGGGGAACGAAATCTCGATGTATAAAGTATTATGAATGTCAATAGAATCGGTAAAATTCTCAATTTCCATCTATTTAAACACCGTAAAAAGACCTAATTAATTGATTTCCAACTTCAAATATATACTTTTCACTTATAAAATTTTGAAATATAAAGTACAGTTATCTTTTTTATTATTATTATATTTTTAGCCAATTTAATGGAAAAATCGAGTAAAAACGAAATAAAAGTTTTAAGGAATTAGAAAACTGAAGAAAAATATTTAAATTCAGAGCCTGTAAATGTTTTGACGAGTTTTCTGGTAAATTCGTTTGTTTAAATACGGATATCTTTTTATAGAAATGCGACGAATAAAACGTTAATCTTATTTACTTTCATATTCAAATATATAAGGATCTTTCATATTTATGAAAGCAAATATATTTGTAGATAACATTAGAAAAGGTCTGCTTTCTTCTCACTTTGTATTTATTATTGAGGGATTGCCATACTTTGTAGATATTTCCAATTACTTCATTTACGCTTTCAGATACCCCGAAAATATTTCCCTAAAATCTTGATATTTATATCTTTCGCTTCTCCGATTGGTGGAATTACCAGAAACTTTTTCTGACGGAAAATAAATTTACGCTTCGATTCGTCCGACGATAACCGATGAAAATGAAGAATTTATGGCTGTCTTTTTTCCCCCTTTTGGCGAAAGTTACGGGCGTGGGCGACGTTTGTTTCTAAAAATGAATTTTCCCGAGTGTTAGGTGGCGAGCGACATCGGAGTCGTCTCGACCACCCATTCCGTCTCGGCGAACCAACAGAGGGCATTCTATCGTCGACGTCACTTCCGGTATATTTAGTATAAAACGGAACCCGAGTGGTCGAAGGACCAAATCGTCGGTCTCTCATCATACTTCGTCAGCGTCGTCTCCGCTACAATCAATATGCGTGGTAAGTAATTTCTTCCTCCTCTTCTTAACACAAAACTTTACCCAGAAAAGATTCTCCGTTTTAACCCGTTTCAGTTAATTTTTACGCGGAATTAAACGAATCGTTTGTAATGGAAAACTTGCTTTTGTGGGACAATTTAGTGAAAATTTAAATTTTATTTTAATAAAAAGTAGTGGAAAATTCTACCAACGGTTACTTTATTTCTTCTAACAATCGCCAGAGATTTAAGTAAATGCCATTGGACATTTCTGATCTTTTGAAACTTTAAAATTTTTATTTACGAGCTGATTTAATGCTTAAAAAAATGAAGTTTTTAAAGTGCGATGGTTCGGGTACGAATTATCTGTTGTAATTGTGACGTATTTATAAATAGATTTTCGCCTCTTAGTTTAAGTTTTTAGTCCAGAGATTTATTTCGATTTTCTTAACTTCGAAAGGAATGAATTTAATCGATTCTTTAATCATAGTTTTATGGTAATCATTTTTAATACAGTAAAACCTACCTAACCCGGAATCTCGCTGTACCGAATATTTTTCCGGTTTTGGCGGGTTTCCGTTTTAAACAAATTAAAAAAAAAAAAAAAAACAGAAAAATCACTGCGTTTTGAAGAATTTTTCTGTTTAGGCAAGTTTCTATTTTAGACAGGTTTTATTGTATAACAGAATCGTCGATAAAAGACAGCCTGTTCGATCTTACACCAAGGAATTTTACCAGTAAACATTTACTAAACTTATTTTTAATTTTTCGATTTCTTTATTAAATCTTTGAAAAACCAAATTATCTCGAAAATAAGCGAAGTTTCTAAGTTCTACAATCACTTCATTTACAGATTTAGTTTGCGGCGAACGACAATCGATCGGCTTCGGCGCCAAAGTTCGAAACAATAGAAATTTTAAAATATAAAAGATTCGAAAAAGCGTAAAAGACGTCGGAATGTCTTTTCTACTTCGTTATAACGTTTCCGAACCATCGATCTTCTTTTCTATAATGTCATTCTCGTCCTCTTAACACCGACACCATCAAACGTTGTTTAACAGATCAATTGTTTATTTCCATTTTTGTAGGCGATGCGATATTAATTATTAATCCTTCGTTAAATTCGATTTTTAAAACATTTAAGATTTTCCTATTATTATTTCGGGTTACGTTAAATTTCATTAAATGAGTTGTCTCCTTAATTATCCATAAATCTTAAACAGGCCTTAAATAATTGTAAGTGTACAGAAGACGCTTTAGAAAAATGTTTAGATATTTGCGGTTTTTCTTCGGAACTCAGCTGCTTAATCGTTTATGATAAATTTAAATTTCTTAGATTTTCAAACATTTACGGACTTTCTAATCGAAGGAATGTAAGAAGTATTAACTCGCTTGTACAAAAGAATCCGTTCTTCCTTATCGTAGAAAGAATTACTAAGATTTTAGTGGCGTCGCTCGATGTAGTGGTGGAAAAAAACACGAATTTTAGCTCCGTTTATCGAAAAAGTTTTAGTATTTTGTTATAGAATGCATAAAAATTTTGTCACGCGATGATTGCCCGATTAAATCACAAGACACTTGAAATAATTGCACCTAAGAAATATTCCTCACTCTTTTATACTATTTAATACTTAAATTTTTGGCCGTTTTATTCATCTAAAAAAGTTTAATCTAATTTAGAATTATTTTCTTGTCTTCCTCGCTTCGACGTTTTTCTTACGTAACATTTGTATAATTTCCTTCCAACGTTCGAAATTTTTTTTCTGGTTAAACTCAATGCCAACCGTTTTCTAGCTGTAATTTTCTTATTAAAATTTTGTAAATAGTTTGGAATGACGTCGGCAGAAATTCTACTTTCTACCAACGGATGCACGCATCTGATTTCATAGAAAATATTTTCATATAATTTCATAAATTTCATATAATATTCGTATTTTTCGGGTCGCTTTAATTGTGTTTAATTGCTACACGTTTATACTCGAATAATAGAAAAACAAACAGCGCCAAACGGCATTTTGCCAATCGCTTATGAGGGTCAATTAAAGCCCGTTCGACGTTCTTAAAATCATTTCCGAAAGTTCGCACGAATATGTAAAGACTGGACCAAATAAATGACTCATTTGAATGCTAATAAATCGAAAATTTTTTTTTTTGAAAAAAACGATTCAATTTTTAACGTGTACGCGCGGAAGTTCCCGCTAATATCGATTTATTAGGGACGATGCGCTAAATGCCGGGAACATCGATTTTCAAAGAAATGTCTTAATAAAAACTGGTGAAAGAAATGATTTAATTCGTTGCCACCGGATTATCGATAGAGTAATCCCGATTCCATCTCATCTACTAGATGAGTAGCAATTTCATCAAAGTCTCAGACGAAGGCAAATATCGAGATTTATTTTTGGATCGACCTTATTGAAATCTCTTCTTTCATTCAACAACTCGTATCGTTCGAATTTTATAATCTATTTTTATTTTATTAATTTATTTTTAGGGTTCTTTTCCTTAAGACGAGTTACAGAACGAGAATATTTAAACATTATTTTTACAAGAATATGTATTAAATTAGCCAACGGGATATTTTTAATTAATAAATCGACTTACGAATCGTGAACTTTTTTGCGGTTTGTGACGTAATGAAGTATTGTTTTTGAAAACCTTCTTCTATTAAGACCTGCTTTGACGGAATTATATACGTATCGAATTTTTATTAATAATTTTAACTGCGACTTCGTTCGAGATTCCCATCCGTGTCTGTTCCAACAAGTGTGACGTCAACCTCACTTCGTCCAGTTTAGTCTTCCGTCTTCTTACTGAAGTTTGCATTCGAGAAAATCAAAATTGAAGCTTTTATCTTTGGTTTCTCGAAGAGAGAACTTACACGTAGTAGGACCAGGGTAGTTTTAACCATTTTTAAGGCCACAGCCTAGTTTCTTTACAGGTATCATACAGATATAAAACAAAAATATTAGTAATGAGTGATAAAGTAAATCCCTGTAAGAAGTCAGGCCCGGAATATAGCTAAATATGTTTATGTATTAATGAATCCTTGTTTCCTTTCGGAAGAATTGGAGAAATCAGTTGTCGTTACGTTCCGTGAAATTTGAATCGGTTTGGAATTTCCAAAGGTTTAATATTTCAAATACTTGAATCTTTTGATGATTTTTTCTTATTGTAAAATATAAACAAATCGTCCACCAAAGTTGACGTTTTATCTTAATTTTCCTCTTTGATATCGTCTAATTGAAAAAGTATTGTTTTCTACTTCGTTTATTTTATGAAAAAACGAGCTCAAAAATTGGAATTTAATTACGCGTAGACGAAGACTACAAATTTCTTAATCTTTTTTCTTTATTCTCCCCGTCGATTTTCGAAGAAGAAAACGAAAATGAGACCAAATTTATGCAATAAATCCAGACTTTCCGTATAAATTTATTAATAAAATTCATAATCTAGAAATGAAAATAGAGAAGCCGCAAATTCTTTTTTCTTCGAATTTTCGTCGTAAAATATCGAAGAGTAGTAAAAAAAAGTAAGTTAATTTTCATTTATATACTCCAGCAAACACGAAAAGAATAATAATTTGTATATGTTAATTAGTAAAAATAATCATCAAATAGTAATTTATTTCAAAAACGTCATTAAAATTCATAAAAATACACATCTTAAACAACTTAAATGGGAATCCTATAATTTAGTTATGTTATAATTGAATTTTGTTTTGAATTTAATTATTATTTCGAGGATTAATCGATAAAAAAAAATCTGTTGTAAAGACAATACAAGGAACTGTTGATGAAAGTTGCACCTTTTAAGATTTTTATTTACCGACCAGAAATAATTATCGTTTCTTGGAAAGTTGATTTATAATTTAAAACTTTTCCTAATCCTAATTTAATTTGATTTAAACATCATTCGTTATAAAGTAATTTATTCCTAAAATCTGTTTGGAAATTTAATTATTAAGAGAACGATGAAAAGAAAAATTCGTTTATGAATAATATGAAACAAAGAGGATTAAATATTCAGAATATCATATAAAATAATTAACTAAATTTTTACGTTAAAATGAACAATTTATTTACTTAATTTATTTTGACTTTTAAATTTTGTGGAAGGGGAAACAAGTCCAAGTGTCAGAAAATAAAATAACACGAATACAATTGGGAAAACGTAATAAGAAAGAATTCTATGAGTTCTAATACTTCGATTAACTTCAAATTAACTTTCTGTATTCTCATTCGGAATTTTTCAAACTCTTTACCATCCTAACGACAGTATAGGAATATGACAATTCTATAAAATACGCTTGGGATCTTTTGGATTAGATTTGGAAAGACTTTTTTTATATACAATTAAAGTTTGATGTTTTTATCAATATACAACGATAGATACTTAACATAAAAGATTAACGCATTTTAATCGAGGAGTACCAACAGATTCTTAACGTACCAAAAATGGTTAATGGAATATTTTATTTTGGAAAGTCTACATGAAGTAATTTTAAAGTTATTTTAAATTTCGCTTATGTATATATATATAAAACTACATTAAAATATTAATTGAAAATAAACCTGGATAGTGGCTCTTATTTCTCTATCCGGAATCGATACTTTCTTCGATTTTTTCCCCCCAAATTTCGTGAAAATACAGATATTTCGTATATTCTTTTTTATATCTTTGTTCAATGTTTTAAAATAGACGTTTATAAACCAATTTCCTTTCGAATTTCGAAATTTTGGAATTCCCCTTTAAAGATCACACGGAAATATCACAAAATTTTCGACTCAGCGAGAAATTACTGAATATGAAGAATTTATCCCTTCAACAAAATACTTTTTTCTTTCTCTGTATTGAATTCGTCGATATTATCACCAAAATGGCGAACAAGATTAAAAAGTATTAAATTTTCCCGACACAAAGAGCAAAATTTAAATAGCAAGTTAAAGCGAAATGAATATGTAAAGAAAGAAGCATCATTCAATTTTTACAAATATTACAGAATTTAGGCGAATCTTTTTTC